AACTCGCGTAAAAAGCGGCCGATCGCGACGAAACTTTCAGTACTCTCGCATTGATTAATTTTACACCTACCCTGAAAATTGCATGACCCTGACCCAAATGACCTTTGACATGTGACCTTTTTTCCGAGACCATGTTTGGCCGGAATCGCGATTCGGCGTATGTCGGCTCGCATTAGCCGCGCGTTTGCAAGCTTTTCGTGGTTTCAAACGTTCAAACATGTGATTTGATGTTGCTCCCATACATTACGGTGGGTGTCAAGGTCACCTGAAGGTCAGGTCAGGTCATTGACCTTTGGTGACCTCGGGTGACCTCGGTTCACTTTTTCGAGTTTTACATGTTTCTAGGCTAGTTTTTGGAGCTGAATTCGAATTTAGCAACCATTTGAACATTTACGAAGAAGTTTTGGTGCCTTCGTAACATGTTATGAAGCTGTCAGAGGCGGTTGACACGTATTACGAATACCCGTCACAGCCCCTACCGGTTGACCTGACCTGACCCCACCTGGTCTAAATGCTTAAAGACATCATCTCTGATCAAAACTAACACGATATTCGTGATCAGCACCCCGGAAAACCACTTATCAGCCACACTTTACGACTTTCTAACAGGTCCCGATTTTCCCGGTTTTCGGGTCACTGACCTAACCTGGAAGGTCACCCGATGACCTAGGACCTTAAAATTGGGTATCATCGGCTTACTCTCGTGACGGGCAACACGCTCGTTTTTTCCGCGAAGCTCTAGCTCGATCAGGGACCAAACGCGAGGGGAAGTCGTACCAACACCCCCCCCCCTTGTGCCGTCGAAGGACGCAAAATGGCCTGTGCCGGCGAGGGTTAACCCGCGCGGGGCTGGGGGATAAATTTTACCCCCCCTCGCGAATTTTTGCAATATCTCAAAAACGGCGGCGCGCAGCGCCGCCAAACTTTCAGTACCTTTTCTTACATCAATTTGACACGTTCCCTGAAAATTTGAGCGAAATCCGTCGGAACATTTTTGAGAAATTGACGTTTTAGTGACGTCATGTTCGCCATTTTCGCCTCAAAAACGGCAAAAGTTCAAACGCCGCTAACATCTTCATTTTTAAATGAATCAAGACGTAACAAAAAAGAATATACGTAATTCTACTTTGTCTATCAAATGGCTATCTCGGTTTTTTGAAACTTTTGGATTTTGGCCCAAATTTTTTCAAAAAACTGACTTTTTTGGGAAAATAACTATAAAATCCAAAATTTTGAGTGTATCGAAAAACCGGAATATATGTCAGAGAAGTGGTCTATGTGCAGTGTGCACCTACATACAAAGTTTTAGAAGAATCGGTTCAAAAATGTGGGAGTTATTCAAAATTGTATGACGTCACGACACACAAAAATTTTGAAAAATGACTTTTTTGGAAGTTCTAGACCTCGTACGGAAACAAAAATAGCACCATTCGATTCGCCGTGAAAAACTGCATCAGATAGACACCTTTTTAGGCCTTAACAACCAACTTCAAAATTTGACCTCACTTGACCTGACCTTCACCTGACCTTTACCTGAAATTCATCCAGAGGTGGTCCATATCACTTATTGAGTGTGCCTATTGAATTCTATGAGTAAAATGACCCATAAAACATGTGTCGGCGTGTCGCACATGGCCTTTTCTATATTTTGTTTTTGGTGACCTGACCTGACCTGACCTGACCTTGACCTTGACCTCTGAATAATATTGTATGCAACGAATATTGTCTTGGTAGCCTAAGAACACGTTTTGGGCGATCAGTCTCAGTCCATGACTCCATTCTTCGGCAACTACGGTGCAAGGCCGATACTGTAGGAGCTTTCAATTTGTACCCTTGACCTGACCTTGACCTTGACCTCAAACTTAAAATTAAGTACATGTTTTTAGTTGTTCGTGATGAAATCTTTCGATTGGCGTTTGAATTTTCCAAATCGGACCATTAGTTCGGGAGATAACAGGGGGGGGTAAAATTTACCCCCCCAGCCCCGCGCGTTCGGCTGGAGACCCCAGCCCCGCGCGGGTTAACGTTCCGTGAATATTAAGGCGTCGCGAACTAGCGACGTTTCATACAGATCCCACTACAGATATAGATTGAATCTATCATGCAGACTCACTAACGATGTCAGGTCAGTGACCAAGCGGTTAGTGTCACAAGATCTGATTTGAATCAAAAGTAATATATGCCAACTTTCTAATCTTTATTCCTAACACGTTCTGAGTATTCGTGATACAAAATAGGGGGGGGGGTCACCCTCTCCTCGACCTGGAGGAGGAAGGGGAGGGGGGGGGGGTTGGCAGCAGTTAGCTGAAGGTTATGGATCAGTTATCAATAATTCACTTCAGTATTACTGCTTTCAACCTTTGGCCACTGTCGGCTGTTGTAAATAACGGAAATCCAGTCAAAGAAGCATAGGACGACATTTGGGAGCTCAATAGCATAATTGCATGATTGGCTTCGCGTCTCAGCTCCGTCTTTCATATGAAAAAGCAGATCTTGTTGAGTGAAACAGGGTTTCCAAAGGTCAGATATACAACAATCGCAACTAAGCGTGGGCTCTGCAGTTTCGTCCATTCGCCGATTAAAAGCACTTGAAAAACATTAAATTAATAAAAGTGCATTAGGGATGTCGCGAATACGTACAGCTATAATCATAGATGCAAGGTGTTTTAGTTTTATGCGCATCAACACTCTTAGTGCTGATGCTTTCAGTGCTGATGCAAGAGACCAGTGCATGAGTGGCATTGATATCTTGCAGATCTTGTCTTCTATGATGCTGAGCTAGTTTAATGCTCTGAGAAGTGCATTATTAACCCTCGCCCGCACATGGGGGGGGGTTGCCACCCCCCCCAGGTAGTCTTTCTGCTCTGCACTCAACATTTTTAGAGCTAGAAGGCTGATTTTTCGTATAGCTGCTCCTCTATCCTTTCTTGATGTCCACTGAAAATGTCAAGTTTCTGTGGTTTTTGGTTTCGGAGATATGACCTTGTTTCTCAGGTAATGTCATGACCCAAATGGCCAATTCTCAACATCTTGCGTTGGCTATGGGCCTTGTGAGCTTTTAACACCTTGATTTCGGCCTTTTATGCCAATCCTACCTCCCACCTATCATGAAACATGTTGTTCGACGATGTACAGAGGTCAAGGTCAGGGTCAAGGTCAACCTAGGTCATCTAAGATAATTGCGTTTTAGGCAAGCTGAATTTACTTTTTTTGAAATTTTTTGACTACATTTTTGGTAAAAGCTTCTCACATCATGATTTCATGTAATATGGACACATAAACAATCGGTGCACACATCAGTATACACACAGACACACACAGACATACAAACACATATTATTGACCTTGACCTAACTTGACCTGAGATGACCTCAGCAGCAAAAACCTGGTCGGGTAGTGTGACAAAGAGGTTCTAGCTGGCTTGGCACCAGAAAACGGCATCGTCATCGGTATATGACAAGCAGCGCGCTTGATATCCAACGGTGACCTAAAACAGCAACATTTTTTAGTTTGACCTGACCTGGAAGGTCAATGGCTGACCTGAGAAGGTAAAACTGGGTATCATTGGATTCGTCTCTTCCCAAAGAATCTTTTTGGTCTTTACCGCTAAGCTCTATCTCCAACAGGAACGAAATGGCGCGGGGGGGGGGTGGCAACCCCCCCCCCATGTGCGTTCTAGGATGGGAAAATGGCATGTGCGGGCGAGGGTTAAAAGACCTACATTTGGACCTTTTTGGTTCTTTTGGTATTTGGAGCAAATCAGACTCATTCACTTCAGTAATGCTGGAAACGTCCATTCCTTTGACAACGGATGACCTTATTTTGTTTGGTAACATATCACGTCCGCTCACCAGTCGTCTGACAAAAGCTATAATGCTATTCAAAAGAACCAGGCTGAAAGAACATTGATCTGCGAGAATGAATGTCGTTATCAGCTATGTACTCATATGAAACGAAATGGACAGCAACTTTCTCATGTCAGGATAAAGTGACAAAATAACATCACACCGTATAAAAACATTCGTCGTTCCTTGGCCCTAACGTGTGTGGAGCATGGCATGCTCACATTCGTTGAAAAACAGGGGAATTATTTGTCTAAGATCCAGCGTCAACGGCCACACTGTACAGTCTGTCTTAAAAGTACCGCGCAAAGTAACGGTGGATCCATTAAGCCTGACGGAGGAAGGGCCTGCTATAATTTGAAAGTCACCGAACCAATTGACCTGGGGAATGGACGAGGATGTCCATTGCTTCGGTGACTCAAATTTAGCAGTCCTTCCTCGGTCAGGCTTGTTGAATCCACCACAATTTGCGCGGTACCTACTTTTAAGACTGACTGTATAGGAGCAAAATACGGCACGGCACACTGCAACATCTGTTAATGCTTGTGTGCTGCCATACACTGTCATTTTGCATAAGTTTAGTTTTAGATGGTGTTGCTGAAGTTTTGCTGAAAGAAGCAAACCCAATTTTAGAGCGCATTAGGAAAAAGCATGTCATAGACTACTCAATATCATTATTAATACAGTAGTCTATGACTATGTAACTAGGTATAAGATTCGGTATATGCTTTCTGGAAATAATGCAGGCCGGTAAAAATGACTGGGACCCGAGGAGCACGTAACGGAAATGTATTTGGAATACAAAGTTATGGAACTGGCATTATTCCACGATTCAGCCCCTGCACCGCAGGTGATTTGTTCCTGTCTCCTAAATAATTACTGTTTCTGCCGCACGAGCAGTATGTGTCCATCAAGAACTGTCTGAGGCATCTGAAATATGGCCCTATCCCCGGGCCGTAGGTAAGTCGCACGAAATGGGCATGGTCCGACTCTCTTAGTACATATGTTAGGCACGGTCAGTTAGGCACGGTCAGCCAGGCAGTTAGGCACGGTGTGGTGTGACAGTTAGGCACGGCAGGTGTGGCATTTAGGCACGGTCAGCCAGGCTGTGGTGGTATAGGCACGGTCCGTAGGCCAGGCTGTGATGGTATAACTCACCTTCCAGTTCTCTGCCACGACCAGGTAGGCAGCGCTGATGATGAGAAAACCGCCCACGAAAAATGACGCGAGAGTGAAGAAATTCCTGCGGAAATATGTTGGTGTAATTGGGAGCTGGTCGAAAAACGCAACAGCATTTTATGACGAAGAAGAATACTCTAAGTGTTGCAGCTAGGCAGTGTCAAACAATCACTTTGCTGTAGAATAGGATTTGCTCTTTCTCTTATCATCAACGTTGTCTACATTACGCAAACAAAACAATAATCGTAATAAACCTTGCGAGAATGCACAGCTTGGCATTTGGAGAAACACAGATGAAGAAAGCTGGTGATGCAATATTATGTGCAGGGGAGCTTAGTGACCTGATCGGTTTACCGACTATGCTAAGTAACCTCTAATGGGTGCACGATGATGAGCGGTGATGGAGCATTCCCAACCCGTGACTGAGCAGCAAGTAGCAACAGAGCAGTGAAGAAATACTCACTGTGGCACAGCGATGAGTTGAACAGCTACGATGAATCCGAAGATGATGAATGCGCTTACAAAGTAGACGGGCAAAAGCTTGTCGCGTTTTATCGAATACTGGAAACAGACAAATCTGACTTTCATCCAACTTATAAAATTGCAGTCTGTAAATACTCATGCTTACATTATTGACGCAGTAAAATCACAATTGTGCCGCAAGTGCATGGACAAAACATTTTTTAAACCCTTAGCGATCACGCTATAACCATGAACACTCAATTTGAGCTATTTTTGGTATGAGAATATAGGCTCCCGCAGCAATCAAAACATGTAAGGTGAAGCATCATCCCGGCGAATTTGACCCTCTCCCCGTGAAGACACCCGTTTTTGAAGCGTCTGTCGGCGCCCACCTTCTGCTCGATGTGTGGTGAGTTGAACGTGAGCAGCAGTCTCCGACAGTGCTGGTTTCGCAGCCTGTCGATGCTGCGGGCGTCTATGGCCCTGGCCAGGTAGTCGTCCACTTCTTCAGCCGTCGTCTTTTTCTCCGAGCCCGGCAGAAGGCGGCTGACAACAGAGACAGTGGGCGTCAGTAACAACGCTTAACAACGGTAAAAAGGGGCGACAGAAGCAAGAAATAACACAGCAACAGTGGGCGTCAGTAACAACGCTTAACAACGGTAAAAAGGGCCGGCAGAAGCGGCAACTGTCGGCAGCAACAGTGGACGTCAGTTGCTACGGCTGACAACAGGACCGGTGCACGGTGGAAAACAGTAGAATACTGTAGCTCGTTCAGTCCGGTGACTACATTATTGTTTCTTGCAGAGATACGAATGGGACGGCAGCACATCATCTGACGCGGACCTGTGCTTAGATGAGTGTGCAATCAAGTTATCCAAACACGGATATTTGCTGAAAAGTAGTGTCAGTAGACTTCCCTAGCCTGCATCTGAATACAGAGGTGGCTACTCGATCCAATCAATTGTGGTGCTTTGAGGCGCGAGCGAGGCTCAGGCGGCATAGAAGGCACGACGTGGCGCGAGCGGCGCCTGTCGCGTTCACCTGAGAGTTTTGACGCCTTTTGACCGGAGTTGGCTAGGGGACCGAAATTAACAAACTACATTCTGAGATGCCTTTCAGTTTGACTAGTTTGTCGCAGCTCTGAGGCCACAAACAGCAAATTAAGCCCCGACACATCAAAAGAAGCATGGAAGAAAGCGACAATAAACCACTTCGCCACGACCGGGTAAATAGGGTGAACATATCTTAAGTCCGCCGCCTGCATTCAATCGTATATAATAGTAATTTATAAATGTATGTTAGGCGAAAGCCCGAACAAGAACTTCTGGCGTGAATGTGTGGTGCTGGCAGCAGACGCCTGGGAAAAACCACGGACACAACAGTGTCACATTAGCCCTCTCTGGGTGGTACAGAGCCTCCTTTCTGCTGCGGCCTACGCCGGCTCAGAAGAGGGACGCGCCCTATTAGAGGCAGAGAGCTACCTCCAGTCAGGCCAGTCTCCGGAGACCGGGGACACGACGCGCTCGTCTCCGCCCCAGAGGTGTGCCGCCGCCTCTCCGCGGGGGGCGACGCCACGAGCGACGACGCCCGATCGTCGGACGCGACGCGCCGAGATATCATTCCCGGGGGAAACGCCGACCTACTGGAAGAAAAAAAAATCCAGGCGTCTTGCCCAGGCGGTCGGAGGTGAGGGAAGCGGAGGCCTGGCACCGGGCCAGGGCGGCGCTGGCCGGCCGGCCGCGGATGAGCGCGGTCCGGGCCCGTCTGCTGGTCCGGGGCCGGCCACTGCCGCTGCTGGGGGGCGGTCCGACACGGGTCTTGTCTGGATGAATGGCCGGCGGGGACGGCGGGCGCCGCCGGTTACGGAGAGCGAGCCGCGCCACTCTGCCGAGCGCTCCCCTCCGGCGACACTGCCTCCATCGATCGCTGTGCGACGGCCGGCCGGACTGACCACTCGCGACGGACGGACGAACGGCAGAGGAACGCGCACGGAGCGCAAACTATGCACCGACGGCGGCAGACTCCCCAACAACGCAAAGGACGAGATGGAAACTTTGGTTCGCGGTCACTGTGGATAAGTTTCACATAGTAACAGTCAACTCTCAAGGTCACAGCGGCTGTTGACCTCGACATAGTCACTGAACGGTAGGACAAGCCAAATGAAAACACGAACAATTGCTACATATATAAATAACAAACTAAACCCCATGCCCAGACCCAAAATTGTGGATTGTAACAGAAACATCGCTTCTAATGCAACCCCGATATCTAGCAAATATCCCCAACATTGCACGCTCTCCTAATGCCTGCTGGCCTAACAGGATCTAAACCTGGCAAAAAAGGCACGAATGGCTTCCTTTCTACTATATATGTAATAACCAGCGTTTTCTAGCGCAGCTGAATGTAGTACAGTCTTGTACTTTGCACTTGGAATATGCTGGAAAGCAGCAGGCCGCGCCCGGCTGGGGGTCCTGGATTTCCACGCCCTGCTGGGGGGGGGGGGGGTGTTCAAACACCCCCCCCCCTTGTAACTCGGCTCCTGGGCCACGTAGCGATACGCGGAAGGCGGCGTTCGAAAGAGCGTCAAAAATAATGACGAAATCACTTCGGTCAATTTTTTGGTCAGGTCAAAGGTCAGGTCACCAGAGGTCATTGAAGGCAAAAATTCGCCGATTTCCAGGTCGAATGTCGAAAATTTCCAAGATGCTAACGCATAACTCGAGAACCAATAGAGCTACAGCGCCGCGGAAAAGCGCATTCGATAGCCCTTTTAACGCCCTTTCTGAGTAATTCTCTCAGATTTGACCTAACGTCAACGGTTTTGCCTGCAGGGGGCAAAAACTGCAAAAATAGCCGATTTTTTCGGAAACAGTTTTTCTGCAATAACTTTTGACCCAAGCCTTGTACGAGCTTACTTTTACCGGCATTGTGTTCCTCTCGTCAAGACACATCGAATGAACTATAAGTTGACCTTGAAAGGTCAACTTGAAAATTTGACCTCAGGTCAAGGTCATGACCTGACCGGAAAGGGTCATGTTGCATATCAGTCGATCCGTATCGTCGAGCTGAACACATCTAAGGCGTTTTCATCGCTCTAGCATGGCTCTATCAAAAGTTATTTGCGAAAAACTGTTAGATACCATTCGTGACCTAAGATGACCTCAGGGCATAAACAAGGGTCACAGACACCATTTTCATGTTCATTGTGTCTAAAACACTTGTAATTCGGTGTTTGGGAGTGTTTATAATGTCTTTTGTCCAAAACAGACGCTTTTCAATTTTCTCCCATTGACTTATAATGGGGAGGTCGCAAAATTGACCTGACCTTAGGTCATCGATATCAAAATTCTAAGATATAAATTTTGTACATGCTATTACTCTTAGCAATCGCTGAAAGTTTCAAAGCGATCGGTCACTCGGTGTAGCTATGACAGACATTGAAACTTTTTATGAGGTGAGGTCACTTCAAGTGACCTGGTGACCTGACCTTGAATGACCTTGGTCTGAAATTTTCACAACATGTGTAGAATTGATGTATGATAAGGTGTACCAAAAACGGCGGCGCGGAGCGCTGCCGTTTTTGAGATATTCGCGAAAAACCACAGGGGGGTGTTCAAACACCCCCCCCCCAGCAGGGCGCGGGTTAATAAACAACTTTAATGTAATTATCATATGGTGAACACCCGACAATAGATGCTTTCTTTTAGCATGAATGACAGACTGCCAGCTATATAGATATTAAAGTCGCTTACGCCGCTGCAATGACACATAAACCTAACAAACGTTAGCAATAAAGCTGGATCTGACGGGTCAGAGTAACTGCTGCATTGAACCGTCGTAAAGTAATCCATCTAAGTGACAAAAAGAATACAGTAGTTTCTAGAAGCACGCATGTGAACAGGATATGATGAAAATGGCAGTTAACAAACGGAAAATAGACCTCTGCTTAAGACATCCGGGAAGATGAAATGTGCTTTACTATACTACCATTAGTATTAGAATTGTGCACATTTGTTAGCCTTCTCTGTAGGTTCTTGGAGATGGGATATGGCTGCTTTTAATTAGGCAGATACGTAAATTTTGTTCGATTTCTATGACCTTACGAACGATATGTGACCTTTGTATTCGAAGCTGCACTTAACTAATCATGTGCTTGCTGGTTGCACAATGCCAGGGGCGGCGGATTCGGGGGGGGGGGGCAGGGGGGGGGCAGCTGCCCCCCCTGGCAAACTCGTGGGGGGGGCAAAAGTATCTTTTTGCCCCCCCATAATTTGTGACAAAACTTAGACAAGAAACATATACCTGATTACTCTGTTCGATCATTTGAAGATGTAACCAGATGCCCATATACTTTATCATACGTTGCTTTTCTTAAATGGCAAGTGTTCGCGTTCAATTGAAGTTTTCCTCTCTTCACCCTAGTTTTGGAGACATTATAAGCGTCAACGTGACGCAGCGGCAACCCAGGCCTTCAGTGGACCGCTTACAGGGGCGACGGATACCTACAGAGGAGGCATCGTTCCCTAAGAAACTTCTGGAGGAGGGGCAAACGTATATTCTTGCCCCTCCATAATTTGTGCCCTAAACATGAGGAAAATTTCCATAGCCTGATATTGCAGCTATGCACTCCTACAGTTTGTCCAACGGTGCCTTTTGAATATGTGTAAATGCTAACCATTTCCGATTTATAGCATTTTTGGTCTTTTCAGATTCGATTTGGAGATATTTTAAGTGTGCAAGAGACGCAACTCACACCCTCAGTGGTCGTTTGCCGCTATTTTGTACCTACAGAATGCCAAATCGCAAGCGAGCGGAGACGGAAGGGCTAGCCATTCGCCTGCGGGTAGTTAGGACTGATGAGCGCTCGTAATAAGCCACTCCCCTGATTTTTTTCGAGCGCAACAGTTTCCAGTGCAAGTAAAATGGTAAACGCCGAGGTCGTACACATTGACCACATTGACAAATGCACGGTATGACACCCAAAGGCCAGTCATCAGATATCTGCTTTGGGCATTCGGAGGCTTGTGTGGGGCCAGTGTAAAAACTGGATGTTCACAGTTCAGTATCCGCTTTATTTCAGTATTCACTATTAAATAAGTTAAAATTAACGTTGGAAACTTTTGAGGGTTAGGGCACTGTTCATTAGTGGGGCCCCCTCTGGCTAAAGGCTGGCTATAAAATACAGAGCATCGAACACGAAAGCAAAATCTAAGGCATTTTGGAAAAATGAGTATGCCCCGCAGCGTCCGATAACTACCACCTTCCAGTGGGTGAAGCCAACGGGGTCCAAGTCTATAATGACACTTAACGATAGCACTAACCTTGTCTCACTTTTCGTTGAAGTCTGTTCCGAATGGTTTCGGCGACAGACTGGCTGCACTGAGGTCGTTTGGTATGTGCAACTGTAATTAAAGCCACCTGAGGCGCCCACACTAGGCTGAAGCTGGGTTGGAAATGCTTCGTCTTTGCAGATATCACTGGCCGCTGATTCTTGAGTGCCTGAACCGGTAGATGTCGTGGTAAAATTTGGTGTGATAATTTGGACCTTACCGCAGTCAGCGCACCCTTAAGCCCTAATAAAGAAACGCCCCCCCCCCCAGAGCTTCTGCATCCAGTTCACCGAATTCCTTCACCCTAGTCCGCTGCTCGACTCCCTCACGTCAGCCCTCCGTTCCCAGCTTGACGAGCGTTTGGGCCTTAGTTAAGCCTTGCTGTGGGCTTACTGTAGGATAAACCCATCGAGACAGCCCGTCTCGGTGAGCTTAGTTGGCGAACTACTGCCTTGGGGAAGGTTTCTGGCGGATCGCTGTCCCAATAGGTTTAGATGCGACCGACTGTCTCTGAATGTTTGAGCGGTCTCCTCCCGCTGTGAGCTAGTTTCAGTTGATATCTGTCTCAGAAATACTTTTTAAAGGAAGTTAACCGAAAATCCAACGCAAAATGAACAGAGGAAATGGTAACGAGTTACCTCATTGAAGAGTAGCGCTCGCCTACTTAAAAGGGTTTCGCACCGTTCTTCAACATCTGATATGCGATCGGGTTATGGCACAATTTTTTCCCATTGGAGCTTTTTTCTAATACAGCAATACGAAATGCGTTACATCGTTCACTGGCGGATCCAGGGAGCGGGCATTTAAAGCAAATATTTACTCCCCCTCCCCCTGGCCCCTACATCGCCCGAAATAGACAAAACGTACCTTATGTTTCCTAGTAATAACATTTTTATCAGGATTTTTTTTTTTAAATACTGTTCAGCAGTCCGAGAAATCGAAATCCGAGGAGTTTTTGGATGTTGGACACTTTTTTTGGGGGGTGTGTGTCCCCTACAGCGTCGAAAACGCCTTTCTGGATCCGCCTATGACATCATCTCGACTGGGATCTTGCCCCCCCCCCCCACGCCAAAATCGAATCCGCCGCCACTGCACAATGCGGGTAAAGTGCTCCTATTTCGACCTGCCAGATCATAGTCGCCAGGAAGGTACGGAACTCATTAATCAACTGAATTTCTAATAGCTTCAAGCCGTTTTTTATTTTTTAATCAAATCGACGAAGCATTTAAGCTGACAATTTAACAAACAGATCAATTTTACGAAAGAATTTGGAACTGGGCATCGGTTGTAAAACCGTGAGTGATGTACATTCACCTGATTTAGGCATCTGAGGTCAATTAAGCTTGTACTTACATAAGAAAAACAAACAATTATGTCATGACAATTTGTCATGACAAAGGTAATTTGACAAGCTCTAATTGGAAGGCCGGAGATGGTTCGGGCTGTTCTGTAATTATTGATAATCCAACGCTGCAGTAACCACCGTACTTACTTTTGGTGCATGTGACCTGCGGCGTAGCCCATGGTTCTGAGCTCCTTGGACACTGTGCCGTTTGCCCCCGACTTCCTCTCTTTGGACTGAAAGTACAGAGGGAAGTCACTCAGTAGACATAGCCAGTCATTATACAGATTTGATACTGAACACTTATAAAAGCACAAATTGAACTGTTACATTTCAGCTCATTTCTGTGTTCTCTGCTGGCAAAGTATTCGCAACAGTAGCGCAGTCTCTATGAATTGATAGTCAATTGAGTCACCAAATGCGATACAGCCTGGCATTTATTCTAAGGACAGGCCAAGGAACTATTTTTGTCAGCCCACTCCAGCCGTAACAAAGATGTCAAACATGACCTAATACTATCTTTTTTATAACAAAAAAGGTAAAAGCGTCAAAAGTTTCTGATCATGGACCACGATATATAGTGGTATATGCCTAGACCCATTTTCAAGATAATGATTTCCAGCGTGATGCAATGATCTACTGCCAGTCTATACCAATACATCAAACTGCCCTCTAGCATGCTCTCTCGCATCACCACTGAGTAATGCAGACGCAGGAAGCCTTCCACACGCCTCGGCTCTCCACCCAGAGGCTGCAGCGACGTGACAGAACGTCTGTCCACCAGAGAACACATGCGCTGCAAACGCATGTAAGTACCTACAACTCATCCCGCGCCGTCCCTGCCGAGATCGATACATGGAGTGGTGCACCACCGATCACAATTGACCGGCTGTCCGGCAATATGGGTGTGTGACTGTCCGTCGGAGAGCGCGCCGCGCCGCTCCTGAGCTCCTCCCGGACCTAACACCCGCGCACTGCACCGCCATGAGCAGCTCCAGTACGGACACCCGTGGGGAGGGACTATACGAGAGGGAGGTGTGCGCTGCAGGGTTTGATGGATGGGTGGATGCACCGCGATGTCAACCAGATCATGTTATCGAGCAGTCCTTCCAAAATTTGAATAAAAATGGGTTGACTGAGGAGTGAATTATGATTATATATGTTGTATGTCGAAAAGGAGTGAATTATGATTGTTTCGTGTTCACCAAAGAAGGAATTCTATCGTTTAACCTGCACTACCCCAAGATCCTCGTCTTCCTGATGTGGTGAACAAAATGAGTGTAACATTTTTATTAGGAATTTAAAGCATTCAGACACAGCTCGTCACACTTTGTGAACAAAGTTATATCTGGTGGAGCGGCATCAATGCTTTTATAGTTTTAACTCTATTAGTGGCAGGGGGGGGGGTTGTTTTCATCCACCCCTCAGGTTTTTCGGGAATATCTCCGAAACCGCTGAAGCTACGATGCTGAAATTTTCTGACTTTTCCTAAAACTAAATTGGGCACATTCCCTGAAAATTTCAAGTTCATAACTTTACCAGGGGCGGCTCCAGAGCACTGGGAATTGGGGGGTCCTATTCGTGAAGCGAGTCATTTGGGCGAAGATCACGATGCTGATGTATTATAACTGTATGCACCAGTTTTACGAACAGTGAATGAAAGGTATCATGTGATAACATATACCAAGTTATTGTGCATCCTCTTTTGACACGTTTTTGCTGTAATAGGCGGATCCAGGCGTCCAAAAAGGGGGGTTATGTTTTACCTCCCAACATAGGTGCCCTGACACCGCCTATGCATGACCAATACAATTGTAGTCGTTCTCTCATAAGAAAATTGTAACATAACAAGACAATTGCCACCCTTTTTAGAAACAGTACCAACAAAAACCTTATTTACTATACTTTTTGTGTACCTCCAATCTCAATGATCTGTATCCGCCTATGATTTTTGAAAATGCATATTTTTAGGATCCATGTGAATTCCTGGTTCATTCACTATCGATCGGCAAAAGTTGCGTTAATATTGGTTCAGAAACCTGGCCGTGATAAACAGTCTAAAATGTATCTGCAATTTGCGCGTTTTTACCCCCTTCTACCCCCCTATTGACATTTTTTAATTTTTATTTTTTAGAAATGTAGATCACGTTGAGCGAGATCGAATGCCGTTTGAATTTTGAAAATCGGCCCGTTAGATCTCGAGATATCGAGGGGGGTCGTAAACAGCTCCCCCCCTGCCACTAATAGGGGTAGCCAGGAGCCTGCCACTAATAGGGTTAAAGGCTTTGAATCTTCACGTCATCACGCCTGATGTTCTTGGGAATACCAGCTCCCAGATTAGGTGTTAAACGCAGAGTAAAAACTGCTTCTGGCAAATAATGAATATGTACACAGCCTTAGAACAAATTTAGCAGTTTCTAAGAACTCAGTGTCGTCCCCAGGACATCTGAATATAATATTCATCGCGAGTCTCTAGCAGACTCGGTGCCGACGTGTCTGCCTAATCCCGCCGCTCGGGCTGCGGCACGTTTTGCCGCGAATGCTGGCAGACCCTGCCACCCGATGGGCCACTCTCCAAACGTCCCCAAGAGCGCCTGTTTTATTCATAGAGCGTCTCTCAGCCAATGCCTAATAAGAAGCAGCGCCGCGGGGAACATGGGCCGCTCGCGCGCGGACCAGAAGTGTTTCCAGGGTGCGACCGACCTCTGGTGTGGATGCGGTTGGCTTCCTGGGCAAGAAAGGATCCGGGGAGATGCCTTTTTGTAGCAGCAAACAGCGAACTATGGTGATAAGCTTCGGAGAAAAAGTGTCGCTCACTGGGGCTGGGAAAGGGGCTGGTAGGGCTGGGAAAGAGGGAGGGTAATCGACGGAGCTGGGGAAGGGGTAGATAGATGTCTTCTTTAGGTGCTAGACAGAACTAGAAGACGTGTTCTGAGGAGCTGGCAAGGTGCATGTTATGAGGCAGAGCTGGGTTGCGTTCTGATGTATAAAAGCTGATGTTGTGTTGATGCTGAGACACAGCTCAGAGATATGTGGCTGTTGAGGCACAGCTCAGAGATATGTGGCTGTTGAGGGAGAGCTGGAAGATATGTGGCTATTGAGGCAGAGCTGGGAGATGTGTTGGTGCTGAGGCAAAGCTGGGAGATGTGTGGCTATTGAGGCAGAGCTGGGAGATGTGTTGGTGCTGAGGCAGAGCTGGGAAATGTGCTGCTGCTGAGGCAGAGCGGCCGGGCCGCGGAGGGTGATGATGTATGCCGACCATCTCTCAGCAGAAGGCCGCGGGCGGCTGCCCCGCGCCAACTACATGTAGCGTTCCGGGTCGATCCGCTCCCGGTAGCAGAACGATGTCTCCGTGACGAAATATCGACGCCGTGTCGGCCGCAGACCCGGCGCGAGAGAGACGGGATTACGACCATTTCCTGGTAGTCCACTTTAGGGCGATGAGTTTCGTAAACTCATCGAAACATGTCCTGAATGAGTTTGTCTCTCTTCCTCAGTCTTAAAATGTATCAATTCCACAGATGGGATGAGATTGGCATGGCTTCCAGGTAGCTGCTAAGAGGTAGCACATTTTAATCTGTGTTTCTTATAAGACTGCATAAAGTAGGTGGAAATATGGTATTACTTTTGCTCAAAAGAAACACAAGATGTCTTCATTCTTTTTTCTTTCTTTTTTATTCGTACACCCAGGCTAGCAATTCATTTTGACAGAGAAGTTAACGGTAAAATACGGTTTTGTCACCTTTGAGACGCATTCCAGACTTGCTTATGTAATTTTAAACATACAAATTTAGTTCATTGGTTAAGGTGTTCATTGACTCGATTCAGTACCATTTTTTTTTAGCTTCATGATACGCGTTTGTTGTTGAAATGGCCTAAGCACTCAAACAGTTGCATAACATTTGTAAAGCAGGGACGGAGATGATCCAAGGAATCAGTTTCGATAGAAATCTATGATATAAGTTCAAAAAGTTAAGTTTCATATGATCACTATATTGAATGCAATATGGTGATTCAAGGTACACCACCAAGTAATACTTTGTGATAGCCTAGGTGTCTGAGATGGCGGTCTGATTTATTAGTGGTCAGTGGGAGTTTCGGGTTTTGCTGAATGAACAAGAGTGTGCATAAACAAGGCAAAAACCTTCGACAACGGCGCTTTACACCACCACAAACAGGGGACTAAAAGCCTTCCTGTTGTATCTTCGTTTACAACAAGACAACAATCGCCTTTTCATCTTTTTGGGGGAAGCTGTGCGCTGTGAAATAAAGAGGGAGTTGTGTGTAATTTAGTCAAACCTTCATACCTACAGTGATTCAAGGGGCCTCAGCACAGTCAACTATTTCTCGAAATACACCGCTCCGTCCAAACGAGCAGAGTGAAGTCACGCAATGACGGATTCGACAATGCTATCCAATCACTGCTGTGCTGTATCTTTCCTTTAATCCAATTCCTCACGATGTCCCCTGCCAGAGCCACCATACATCACCGTTTTGCCATTTCAGCACTCATAAGTCATGTCATCTAGTACCCTTCGTCAAAGTTATCCAATAAATCGCTGAATGCTTCGCAATATGATATTGACCGTTCATCAATAAGCTACAAATTGCGACTCAAGCTATTTTCATCTTTGATTTGTGGCAAATATCAGTGTATATAAATGATGTAATTCCGGCACATCACGTCACTGTCTTGCGAGGTCTTGAAAAATGCTAGTAAGAAAGACATTTGAAAGGAAAATGCCGAACTATAATGGAAAATTGCATTCTATGGGACTTCCAACAAACTTGCAGCACAGTTTGAATCATGGATGGAATGGTGTCAATCACGCATTCCTCACATTCGACGAATATTGTGCCAGGAAGCCGATCATCGAAAAATCTTTAGGCCACCCAGTTTCGACATTCTTTCCGTATTGTGCTATCACCTAACTTCTCACTTTTTGGTATCGTTTATTGGTATTTCATCGTTTGGTATCGGTTGGTTGTTATATCACCGTCTGATTACGGTGGGCATCGATAGGTATCTAACCATATTGTATCGGTTGGTAGGAAAACTATCTCCCGTCTGTTATCGGTGAATATCGATAGGTCCATCCACCGTCTGGCATCAATTAGTATTGATAGGTATCTCACCGTTTGGTATCGGTTGGCCTCGTCGGCGATGATGAGGAACGTTTCGACACTGTGCTGACGCAGGTAGGCGTCACGCTGCCGCCCGTTGCCCGGCTCCACGCTGTAAGCCCCGTTCAGACAGTCCAGCGTCTCTTTGGTAATGTGGATTCGTCTGAAAAACGGAAGAGGAGGTCAAATGGGAGATTTCGAAACGAAATGATTGACAACGTAAACGTTAGTGCAAGCGGTGAAAGCAACTGGCCTTTCTTAAGCAAATGTTTGACGATAAACAAATTATTAAAACAAAAGGACAGTGGACATGGTTCAACAATTAACAACGTAGCGTAATGAGTTCGCAGGGTCGGAGCGTGAACAGTTTGCAGCCATTGTGTCTCCTATTCCGCCTATTCATTTCAGAGTGTCGACATGTCCGGCGATAATAGCAACAGGGGACTGCATTCTTATTCTGCTGGCATGCTGTTTGAAGAGCACCATCGTGCTAAATTGGCTCATCTGTGCTGCACGATCGCTGACGACCACTTTTCTGATGACTATACGACGCTGGCCCATTCTACGAGTACCTTTTCCATCCGAAACGGGGCGGACGACGCGGAGTGGTAAAGTAATTTTGACGGCGCGGCGCTCGGCTCTGAGAGGGTAGACTAGCCCGCCGAGCATAACAGTACGGCGGGTCAGCCTACCTCACAGGCACGGAACGCTGCAGCGTCCGCCGGGCTGATGGAGCGCAGCGGCTGGGGTGGAAATACACAGCGGCTTTCTTTCCAACCTGCTGTTTACTTGGAACTTATAATTCTGGACAAGAAGGTAAACGTTCAAAGAATTTATAATATATTGCATTTGTCAGTGGCATACGAGTTGAAGAGACGTTTGACATGGAAACAAAATTATAAGTTGCAATCACCCATGAGTAAAGCACCTTTCTTACATCTTTGCAATCAATGATTGTTCATCCATATTCGAGCAAATTCATTCACGCAGATGATGGAATACATAACCATTTTATGAGAATTCCTATAGTTCGTTTTTTTCAAAAGGACGCTGGCTCAAAGTTCATTATCGAAACTCTCACGTGAGTTTTGGCAACTTCAGCGTCTGGCTAAGAATTTCTTGCCGAAAAAATGATCGATTTCAAATTGTGCTCGGTAAATATGTGGAAATTGTGACTTCAAAAATGAGCGTACTATGATGACGTCACTGGTGGCAGCTGGCACCCAATGTCCGTACGAAAGCATTCATTGCCAACGAATTTGGGAAAAACTTCGTTTTTTGCTCTTACTGTTAGGATTGCTTGCTTGCGGGGCCGATCGCGGCCGGCCGGCGCCGGCCAGCGCGCGCGCGGGTGCGGAGCGGCGGCGCATGCGTGAGGGCCCGGGGCGCGGTCACGTGACCGGCAGTGACCTCGGGTCGCTCGGCTCGGCTCGGGGCAGTTGGCATCGTGCGCCGACGGCCGCCGGTCGAGACTTGCTCGCTGCAGGTCAGACTATACCTACCTTTGTTACACATCGTCCAGCGCTGGTTTACCGTGGCCGCCGCGTACCTACCTTATATTGTGTATCGTGAGCGCTGGCTTACCGTGGCCGTCGCATATATTACCTACCTGAAGCGGTTGCTCAGTTGTTCCGATCGTCCGTTGAGTAATTTTATTTTAATAAAAAGGTGTATCTCATCCAACATTCTCTTTTTTGCCCGATCACCTCACACTAAACGTAACATAGTCCTCCGGGGCCGGATGAGCACTTGTGGTTAAATCAGGACATAAACCAGAGGTTTAAAATGGACGATCGGGTTAAACTTAGGACCAAATTGAGAACGAAAATTACTAAAACTGTAAATGATACAAAAGCCTATCGGGATAAAAGTACCGGGGATATCGACCCGGATTACCTGGCATACAAAGTTCAACAACTGAATGAACTGCGAGACGATTTGAAGGCTGTTCAAATTCTTCTAGACAAAGAAGGCCATCCCGATGAATCCCCACACAGTGAAATGCTGTCTGAGGAGATATTTATGGCGTCTCGTCTGCTGGCCCGACTCGAGGGAGCGACGGGGGGAGCGACGCAGGCCGGAGCGCCTGAACCTGACGTCAGCCTGAGTAGCGACCTCCGGTCCTCACTCGTTGTCAAGATACCTACCTTCAACGGAGATCTGATGAAGTGGAGAGCGTTCTGGGAACTGTTCTCTGTGTCCATCCACTGTAACAGCCGCTACGCCAATGTTCAAAAATTTGTCGCACTGAAGTCTCACCTGAGTGGTGCAGCCGAGAAAGCTATCGATGGAATTCCCGTCTCGGGGGATGGATACCTCGCCGCTGTCGACATCCTCCGAAAGCGGTTCCAAAGGGCAGATGTCGAAAAGGAGAACCCATGAAACAGATCCTCGATGCACCTACCGTCCATAACAGCAGTGATCTGAAAGGCATGCGGTGCCTAATAGATCATCTGTCAGCTCATACAAGAGCTCTCCTCGTTCTCGGTGTGACTACCGAGAGCTTCTCCAACTTCCTCTTGCCTGTGATGAAGGACAAGGTTCCTGAAAGCTGGAGGCTGGACTGGGTTCGACAAGAGAAGTCCAGCTATGAGGACTTCCTGGCATTCCTGGAGAAGGAGGTCACCCTACGTGAATCCGCTCGGTCTACACCATCGACCACCAGTTCAGCATCCTCTACCCCATCGCCAGCCACCACTTCGGCCCTGAACATACAGCGGCAGAAAGTCGAGAAACGGTCGAAGGCCTGGACCTGTGAAGCGTGTGGCCGAGGACAGCATGGACTGAACCAATGCCTGGCATACAGAGCCATGACAGTCGACGACCGATGGAGGACAGTGGGCAAAACTGGTGTTTGCTACCAGTGCCTGGGCCCTCACAGGGTTCGGTCCTGTATGAGCCATCCATGTTCGTCCTGTGGGGAGCCTCACCACACATCGCTTCACCATCCGACCCAGCACCAACCGACAAGGCCTGCACCTGAGGCACCGAATCTGCCACCACCATTTACCGCGTCGTCAGGATACCGACCTGACTACGTGGGGAGTGCCACCACGCAACGACCATCACTTACCACCACATCAGGATACCGACCTGATGATGTGCCGACCCACCACACATTCCACAGTCGCAGAAGTGATGACATGTGTAGCCTCAACCTGATGGAGGTCTCAGACCAAGAAGCTGTGAACCGAGACGGCCTCCCAGTGACCGAACCCTCCTGTAACGACACCGCACAGCGGTGCAAGACGAATCTTGTGCAGGAGTTGTACTGCCAACCAGTAGCCAGCTCTGCCAACCGGTCCACTCACCAGATGATGATGCCGAAACGGAAGCTTGAAATCAGCCAGCCACCCAAATCCGAGACGCGGAGCGATGCTGTCATCGAAGAAACAGCAACCAAACCACCGAAACCGACATCGAATGTGGAGGATACCGCCCTCCAACCCACCTCTGAACATGGTGGAGGAGACCGCTCCATTGGCACACCGGCCATTGGATACTCCACCAACCTGAATGATGATGCCGCCCTCTTCCCTCCTCACCATGAAAGTAGGAAAAAGAGGAAGCTACGTGACGTACTTGAAGGATCTGTGGAAGACATCACCGGACAGAGTCTTGCACAACACCTACCTGCAACCGGACAAAAACCGGCCGTGACAACTGGTGGCTGTGACACTCAGTTCCCAAGCAGGGAAACGGCATACCAGACTGACACCTGGAAGAGCTGCCGTCAGATGATGGAAACGGGACCACAACGATCCGTCAGCAGACTGTACCGCCACAACATTGAGCCTGACTAATTTGACGTCTCATCAAACTAGTCATACGGAGACTAGTAGCACGATTCATCTTTACCGACATTTTTCACAGCACTCGCCATTCACCACGGTGTCACCAACCAACCCCACCAACTTTGTGCTTTTATCATGTTGTGTTTTATATTAGCTGTGTGTAACCGAGTGTTCGTTATCACGTAATTACCAGACGTCACATTCTGTCTCCAGAATGGCCCACCTCCTGATGAACGCTGAGGACCTGGAGGAGGCCCGCACCTGGCTGCAACAGGCGAGCGGCGTCGAACCTCCCGCCGAGGACCCATCAGCTGGTGCCGACCGACGGAGTCGGTCTCACCACCGTCGCCAACCAGCGGTGCATCTCCTCCTGAGGGATTCTGTGGCGAGAGACTCCCAGCTGCTCTCCAGATATCCCGGAGACCTATTGATCAACCGCGCCCGTGGAGGGGCAACGTGGGCCTCGACGCAGGAGCGCCTCAAGGAAGACCTAAAACCGTGGGAGCACGCGACTTCTACGTTCAATCTAGAGAAAGGGGCAGTCATATTGTGGCTGTCCGGTAACGATGTGCACCGGCGGTCGACTGGGGTCGGCTTCATCGACGGAGAAGTCTTGGAGCAGATGAGTCGGGACATTCGGCAGCTTCTCGACGTCCTGAAGGAGAAGGGACCAAAGATGATTATCATCTTGGGTCCTCTGCCGCGGCTGTGCGCTCACGTCGACGGCATCGCGTGGGAGCGCACCGCCTCCTACCACATGGAGAGGGCGACGAAGAGGACGGTGGACCAAACGGAAGGAGCATCAATGACCACTCTGGGCCGCAGTCTGACCAAGAAGAAATTCGGCCGGCACTCGGTGCGTTCGGAGTTCGGGATGTGGTTTAAGGACGACGGCGTACACCTGAACCAGTGCGGCTACCGGAAGCTGAGCGAGCTGCTGCCGGTCTGGCTGAGGTTCGGGGGCGATGCGTGTTGAGTGAAGCATGGACATTCGGTGACAAGGTGTGTTCGTAAGTGTGTGGTGTCGCGTCGGAGGTGTCTGTTCTTTTTTGCCGTGTTTTGATCGTTTTCGAAAATAGGAGCTATTTTCGAGAGGGGAGTTATGTTAGGATTGCTTGCTTGCGGGGCCGATCGCGGCCGGCCGGCGCCGGCCAGCGCGCGCGCGGGTGCGGAGCGGCGGCGCATGCGTGAGGGCCCGGGGCGCGGTCACGTGACCGGCAGTGACCTCGGGTCGCTCGGCTCGGCTCGGGGCAGTTGGCATCGTGCGCCGACGGCCGCCGGTCGAGACTTGCTCGCTGCAGGTCAGACTATACCTACCTTTGTTACACATCGTCCAGCGCTGGTTTACCGTGGCCGCCGCGTACCTACC